GTGGGGTGGGTTGGTGGAGATAGGGAATAGGTGGGGAAGGTTGAAAAAGAGTTTTGAAAAATGTTTTCCCTTCTCTTGATAGGGAAAATATTTTCCTGCAATTGGAAGAAAATGAATTCACAAGGAAAATATTTTTCAAACCATTTAAGCCAACCAAAAATGAAAAAATTAGAAAATATTTTCCGAAAAATATTTTTCTTCGTAGCGACCACACCCTCTATGTCATATTGTCATATGGCCCGAGTCAATATCAAATGGGCCTCTCCTCGAAGCCTATTTGACGGAATTAAGAGGTTCATAGGTAACCCCTGACCTTGTTGAGGCTCAAATACGTTGATGAAATTAAGTGTTGTTTTCTACTTGTTTGCTTGAATAGGAGCAGAAAATGGCAAACAAAAGACATCATAAGGGATGGTCTTTATCTATTTGTTTGCTTGAGTTGGAGCAGAAAATGGCAAAAATAAGACATCTTAAGGGATGGACTTTAATTTTTGAGCTTCGAGGGCAAGTCACTTGACCAATAGTCAAATCTTCAAAGTCAAAAATCAAAAGTTCTGCCCACTGAACAAAACTTGTTAAATTTGAAGTGTTATCTATTGGTCAGGTGACATGCCTCAATAATAAAAAATTCAAGACGAGCTCCATGCCTTAGACTGTAATAGATTGACCCAGCTTTCATTAGCCCTTCGATACACAAAATGTCATTTTCTAACATTATAACGATAACAGTGCGTGCTAATCTGTCCTGGAACATTTGTTCGCAAACTCGTAGTTCATCTACCAAAAGGGATATTCTGCACCATGTGGCATTTAAAGGCTAATTTTTAAATCCAATTCTCAGTAGCCTAGTAAATTAAATTTCACCTTCAAAAATAACAATGAATTTATTTTTTGCAAACAGATTTAGTCCACCAGGCTAACAGAAATAGAATTTAATAGTGACCTAAAAATAGGTCATTTGTGCAAATAGCCTCTAAGAAGGTGCGTACATATTCTTTGGCGATTGCTTGTGTTGGAGCTTTGGAGGTCCAAGAGGAAGAGAAAAATATCAAATGAAGTCATGAAAGAAATCTTTATGTAAGATAATTTTGGTTTAATTATTCGTACTTTCTCAAACTTATCACAATTTCACTGTAGTTAGACAAATTTCTAAATCTTCCCTCTAATTCAATATTTCATTACATTAACTTTCCAACAATAAGGGATGTTTGTTACCAGAATAAGAGTACTAATCTCCATATAGAATAAAAAAATTATATTTATCTTCTATTTGAGTAATTATGGATATTAGCTAGTGGTGAAATAAAATTTATACTAAAATGGTAAAATTTGTTGGGTTTTATTAATTAAAACAAAAAGATGTGTGAATGAAAAATGGTAGAAAAAGAAATGGAGGGAGATAAGAATTTGAATTAGTCACTCTTACAAAGAAACTTTGTTCCTCATTGGATAGGAAGAGGAAAATTCTTGTGCTTATTATATAGAAGAACTTCTTCTAACTCTTAGAGAGTTGAGAAGAGAGGAAGCCTCACGCTGTCGCCGTCGTCGCTCGGCTTCGATTGATTGATAATTTGTTGGACAAAATTTATTTTCCATTTTCGTCATTTAATATTTCTTTTTCTAATATTTTTATTGTCCAACGGTCAAATTCGCGACCAGCTATTCCGTTTAACAGAAAGTCAAATAATTTATGTCGAATGGATCCTGTTGGGACTCAACGTTATTGGCTATAAATAGAGAAGCTCAGCCTAATTTTTCACCATCGAAATCTGAAAAACTCTCCCCTCTATCTTCTGCATTTTGCATTGTACGTCTTTCAAAGTAAAAACGTAAGTATTTTGTGTGATTTGCTCCGCCATTTGAGTTTGCCGAAGTTTTGTGATTTGAAATGCCGCTATCACAGAATAGTTATTCCGTTCTATCCTGGAAGGGACTAATCCGAAATCTTGGGCAACTGTGAGGGGATTAAATTCCTTAAGGACACACAAGAAACTTGTGAGTTCAGAATTTTCTGTTTTGTTTTCTTAAGCTAACGTTTTCTGATTTCTACTTTTGAATACAAAATACTAACAAGCTTAATTAAGAAATTTAATGTGACGACCCAATTTAGGATCGTGACCTGCGCTCAGGAGCTAGTGCTCCCAAGTAAGCCTCATCGGTATTTTACAGAAAATCGGATAGAGTTTTCCCTGTTTTTGGACTATCCAAAAATTTCCCTGTCTCAAAAATCAACAACCAACCATCCTAATATCATACCAAACAATCGATAACGTACAATTAATCAAAACGAG